CACAAACACACACACTCAATCACCCACACACAAACACACACACTCAATCACTCACTCACTCACTCCCTCACTCTCTCCCTCCCTCCCTCCCTCCCTCCCTCACTCCCTCCCTCACTCACCCTCTCACTCAGTTCGCTTCACTTCCATCATCATCATCATCATGATGATCATGATCATGATCATGATCATCATCATCATCATCATGTGCCAACGATGTTTACCAGCCACAGGGCATGCAGAAAGAATTCACAAAATGTGCGGCTGCGCTCGAAAGAGTGCAGAACATTACTTTGGTCAGCGAAAGTATGGTGAGCACACCATCGTTTTGATAGTGTGTCGGAAGGCTGGAAAGGCGAGGCCGTTTCGAATGTGTGTTAAACATGTATGGTGTTGAATATGTCAGGCACACCAACAGTTTGTTCCTCACATTGACGTGTGGGGTTTTTGCTCCCCACATTGACTTGACTTGGTGTAGGTTATTGAAATCACTTTTAAGTTATGCCATGCAGTTATGATGTTTCCGGTCTGTGCCGGGAACGGAAAAGAGAACGCAGACACTCACTCACTCACACACTCACACACTCACTCACTCACACTCACAACTCACACACACACACTCACTCACTCTCACTCACTCACTCACTCAGTCACTCACTCACTCACTCACTCCACTCACTCACTCACTCACTCACTCACTCACGCACACACTCACACACGCACACACGCACACACGCACACACTCACTCACTCACTCACTCACTCACTCACTCACTCACTCACTCACTCACTCCCTCGCTCCCTCGCTCCCTCGCTCCCTCGCTCCCTCGCTCACCCACTCACTCACTTCACTTCACTTCACTTCACTTCACTTCACTTCACTTCACTTCACTCACTTCACTCACTCTCACATCCCTCACTCACACACACCACACTGGCATCACTCACTCACACTCTCACTCACTCACTGTACATGAACATACATACATACACACAAACTCACCCACCATCACCGCTCCATCACTCTTATACTTCCTCTTCCCTTCTTGCTCTTCTATGGTCAGTCTAAGTCTAAAGAAGTTGGTAACATGTGGGGTTATCCGGTCCTTTAATGTCGTTTTGCGTGGCGAACACTTTGCACACTCCACACTCCTCATTCCACACTTTACACTCCACACTCCACACTTTACACTCCACACTCCACACTCTACACTTTACACTCTACACTTTACACTCCACACTCCACACTCTACACTTAGGAAAATCTTGGGCCTGCAAACATTGGAAATTCCAAAATAATTATTTTGTCATTTGTTGCATTTTTTTGCATTTGGGTTTGTCATTTTGGATTTGCGTTGTCACTTTTTGTCATGTTTTGTCATTTTTTTTTGTCATTTGGTTTTTGTCATGTTTTTGTCATGTTTTTCATTTCTTTGTCATTTCTTTGTCAATGTTTGTCATTTGTTTGTCATTTTATTGTCATTTTGGGAACGGGAAAATAGAAAAAAAAACCTTAAAAAATGACTACCATGACAGACCTTTTGTTACCTCGTGGTAGCACCAAAGACAAGAAACAAGTGCAGAAACTCTTGGAAAGCCAGCCGGCGGTGAAGAAGGATAGGGCAGGGGAGCTTGCCCTGGCGAATTCGTTTTTGGGCCTGCCTGGACGAGTTGTTGTCTCCCGGCTCGGGGTGCAGGGCCGGCTCAAAAACCGGGTGGGGGGGCCGGGGCCGGGGTAAAATTGCCCGGGGGGGGCGGCTCAGGCCCGAGAAGCGGGGCCGACCTGGAAATTCCAAAAACGCAACTTTAACAGCACGCGAGTCATTTTTTGCATGTGTTTCGCATTTGTTTTGCATTTTCTTTACATTTTTTTGCATGTTTTTGCATTTTTTGCATTTTTTGCATTTCCCAGACTAGGAGTCATTTTTTTGGCATTGTTTCTGCATTTCCCAGTCTGGGAGTCATTTTTTTTGCATTTCCCAAACCGGGAGTCATTTTTTGCATTTCTTTTGCATTTCCTAGACCCGGTTTGCCACCTTCACCGCTTGCCTGATCCTTATGAGAAAACGACAAGAAAATGAACAATGCTAGAAAGTAGAAAACGACAAGAAAACAACAAAAAAATGACAAGAAAATGACAAAAAATGAAAGAAAACAAAAAATTACTTAATAAATGACCAAAAAATGACAACAAAATGACCAAAAAAATGACAAAAAATGACACCACAAAACAGGAATGACAAAAAAAATGCAAAAACCAAATGACAAAAAATAAATAACCAACAACCCTCAGAGTTTGCAGGTAAGATTGTCATAACTCTACACTTTACACTCTACACTTTACACTTTACACTCCTCACTCCACACTCCACACTCTACACTCCACACTCTACACTCCACACTCCACACACTACACTTTACACTCCACACTCCACACTCTACACATTACACTCTACACTTTACACTTTACACTCCTCACTCCATACTCTACACTTTAAACTCCACGCTTTACACTTTACACTTTGCACTTTCCACTCCTCACTCCACACTTTACACTCCACACTCTACACTCCACACTCCACACTTTACACTCCACACTTTACACTGCAGACTCCACACTTTACACTTTACACTCCACACTCCACACTCTACACTTCACACTCTACACTCTACTCTCCACACTTTACACTTTACGCTCCACACTTTCCACTTTACACTCCTCACTCCACTCTTTACACTCCACACTTTATACTCCACACTCTACACTTTACACTCCACACTCCACACTTTACCCACTGCACACTCCACACTCCACACTTTACACTCCACACTCCTCACTCCTCACTTCACACTCCACACATTACACTCCACACTTTACACTCCACACTCCACCACACTCTACACTCTACACTCTACACTCTACACACACCACACTCCTCACTCCACACTCCACACTCCACACATTACACTCCACACTTTACACTCCACACTTTACACTTCACACTCCTTACTTTACACTCCGCACTCCGCACTCCACACTCTACACTCTCCATTTCACACTCCACACTCTACACTTTACACTCCACACTCCACACTCTACACTTTACACTCTACACTTTACACTCTACACTCCACACTCCACACTCTACACTTTACACACTCTACGCTCCCAACTCCACACTTTACACTCCACACTCCTTACTTTACACTCCACACTCCACACTCTACACTTTCCACTCCACACTTTACACTCCACACTCCACACTTTACATTTTCCACTCCTCACTCCACACTTTACATTTCACACTTCTCACTCCACACTTTGCACTCCACACTCCACACTCCACACGCCACACTCGACACTCCACACTCAACACTCTACACTCCACACTCCACACTTTACACTCCACACTTTACACTGCAGACTCCACACTTTACACTTTACACTCCACACTCCACACTCTACACTTCACACTATACACTCTACACTCTACACTCTGCTCTCCACACTTTACACTTTACACTCCACGCTTTCCACTTTACACTCCTCACTCCACTCTTTACACTCCACACTTTATACTCCACACTCTACACTTTACACTCCACACTCCACACTTTACCCACTGCACACTCCACACTCCACACTCCACACTTTACACTCCACACTCCTCACTCCTCACTCCACACTCCACACATTACACTCCACACTTTACACTCCACACTCCACCACACTCTACACTCTACACTCTACACTCTACACTCTACACACACCACACTCCTCACTCCACACTCCACACTTTACACTCCACACTTTACACTCCACACTCCTTACTTTACACTCCGCACTCCACACTCCACACTCTACACTTTCCATTTCACACTCCACGGTCTACACTTTACACTCTACACTCCACACTCCACACTCTACACTTTACACACTCTACGCTCCCCACTCCACACTTTACACTCCACACTCCTTACTTTACACTCCACACTCCACACTCTACACTTTCCACTCCACACTCCACACTCTACGCTTTCCACTCCACACTGCAGACTGGCAACCGGGGGAAATATGTACAAGACTGTTCAAATAAACTATTGAGAAAAGTGTTCTGCGTGACTGCATATCCATGTGTTTCGACATCTGTATCGTTAACATACGTGTGAGCATTCGGGTTCGGGGGCTGCATCTTGTTCTGTTTTTGTTCTATGAACTTATCGACGGAGCAGACAAGGCGGCAGAAGTTAAGAAATCATCTGAACATTCGCGAACCCGACTGTCCAGTCGCTCCGACTTGGGGACACAGGTAAGAATATAAATACATACACGCACATACATTACACTTTACACAAAGTTGCAAATATTTTAAGATTGTGAAGTTTGCATTTTGCGGGGGGCTCAAGTTCGATAGTTGATTGGACTGCGTCTGTCTCTCTCTCTCTCTCTCACTCTCTGTTGTATCTTCAGCAATCCAGACTCTAGACATGTCCAGACCCTAACATCCCACAAACCAACCTGTTTCTGGTATCCTGCCACGTCTTAACGATCTCCGAAGCATCGTGTATGCCTCTACGAGCTCTTGAAAATCCTGGTCGGGTCATCCCCTCCTACACAATGCCAGCCCAGTTCTGTGAAACACATTAATGTTAAATCTTTGAAAATGGGCAGTTCGTAAGACAAAGGAACACACTGTTTTTAACAAAAACTATGTCAGGTTCTGGGGTGGCCTGGGGTAACCGCTAGAAACACCAATCATAGTGCCAGTTGTGACAGCCCTCCACACTGAGACCGAGACCCCAAAACGGCAAAGTCTCCTGAGAGCCCTGCCCTAGTTGTCTATATATATATGTATATATCTATATCTGTTTGTGTGCGTGTTTATATACACACACGGTTTTTCGTTTTCGTGGGGGCTCTTTAGCACCATAGACCATAGGCATAGGGTATCATCTTGCCATATATTTTCTTTATAATTAGATGGTTGCAAAGATTTCCAAAGTCAGTCGTGCCCCTCGTCCAATCCGATCGCCTCTGCATTTCCTCCACTGTCTGGATGCAACTGTCGTGCTTGGCTACGGAACGCCTTCTGAAGCTCGCGCAATTCCAACAGGTCAGGTTCGCCATCCAGACCCAGGATCTCCAATGCGCCACTCTGCCACGGAGCGAAGATAGGTCAGATGGGTGAACATCGGTGGAATGCACAAGTTTTGCACCATGCCAAACATAGCTTTCGTGAGAAAAGAATAACTTCTTGTATCGGTATCAATTCCACGGGACAGTTGTTTCAAGCACATTGAGCACTTCACTTTACCAGGGGGCCCGGACTACTAGGAGACCATGGCCCACTTTACATACTGATTTCTGATGGTTGAAGTGAGTTGCTATGCTTCAGAAGTTTATGGACACAATATGTAGCAGCACCTCAGACAAGCTCTGCAGGGGCAGCGATCGCTGAGGGCTCCTGTCATGACACAACGACGGAACAAATCCAGATGTCACATAACATAATCCTGGGACAACTGCACAACCACACAAAAAAGAGTCAAGACTGGTTTGCCAAACGTTCTTGGGCAGCTCCTTGAATGCCATCCCAATATAAACACGGGGCCAGGAATGACAATGCAGAGCAACCCAAGGGGTAACAGCTTGTTGATCCGGCCGGGCGCCGCCACCGCCATGGCAATTTCGAGCCCTAGAGGTGCGAAAACAGCGGCACAGCTCATGGCATCTTATGAGGCCTGATGTCCTTGGGCTCATCTGCTTTCAACATAGTTTTCATGGTTGATTCTGGCTTGGTCGTACCAAGGGACCCCTGAAGTATCTTTCAAGTGCATTTAAGCGCAGCGCACTGATCCGATTGAAACAAAGAAAGAGAGAGAGAGAGAGAAGTGGCATATCTTTTGCGAGCGGCAGTGTGCAAACGGCTTAGCCAACCCACCACACGCAGAATCTGGGTGTCTTGGGTCTATTGTCTGCTGCCTTGGGCAGAATCTAAGGCAAATGTTTGATCAATGTTTGATCATGTTGGGAAACATGGTTTCACTCCATCTGTCCGGTGGATTGTCACAACTAGTGACTAGCCACTGGAAAGGTTGCGTGCATTCTAGGCCAGTTGCCGAGCATCTGCTGACATGCCCGTTCAGATTGCTGGCAGAGTGTGCCTGAAATTGCCTCAATACATCTCAATAATTATCTGATTGTCCGCAAGAGCGTTGTCTGCTCAGAAGGGCTGATCCAAACACGCGGCTTGATCTCCAGCTCCACATCCTAAGTCCAGCGAGTCCAGCACCCCAAACTAGATCCCACCTGCTGAGCCGTTCGTACCGGCAAGGCTTTCCCACAGCTACATGCCTGGTAATGATACTGGGACAGCAAGCTAGAAAATGGAACAAAACAAACAGGAGGCTGTGTGGTTTGCATGTCCGCTTGACTTGATGCAGGGGGCCTCTGGTTTGCATCTTGGGAATATGTGTGCCCAATGTGGCTTTAATTAGATATATATCTATATATACTGTTCTGCCAGAATAGGGGCTCCAGCAGCAAGAAGCATTTTGTACCTACTAGTCACGGTTGGCAAATGGTGCAGCTTTGAGACGCTAAATGAATACCTCAAGTACTCCACAAACACTCTCAAATACAGCAAAGACTCGCCAGCGTCATTCACATCAATAATAAGAGTTGGCAACCAGCAGTGATGAGTGCGGGATTTGTACAGAATTCTCCTGACGGTGCCGCAGGCAAGGAAAACAGAATCCAGAATCAAAATGAGAACCCAAGTGATAAATCCCAAACTCTTCGTTTATCGTGGTATGTATTGTGCACATTGTTGTATGATGCAGACTCAAATGTCCGAATTAAACTACTCTGTCAAGAAATCCGCGGCTTTCCTGCTCACAGGGACTGTTTGGCCGAGGCACGTTCCAACTGCAAAGTTGCTGGGGGGTTGCGCATCTACTGGAAGCAAGTGAACCTCTGCCAAAGAAAACATAACAAAACAAAACAAGACTCGTCTTGCCAACATGCATGATACAAAGTGCAACGAAGTGCAACTTTGTACCCTGGAGGTCCGTAAAGTATGTAAAGCGCAGGCTTGATTGAGATGATAGGTTTCCAGCGCCTCTTCTGTATTGCCCGCAGGTTGGTTACAGCACGAAACCTAAGCACAGGCTCGACAGTATGGAGGGTCCACATCAAGGTGAAATAATGAAGTCAGTACCATCAGCAGGGTAGTTAACTCTGGGAAGCTGCTGGGTAGCTGGTCTCAGACCCGTGCCATAAATCCAAGACCCACTGACCCTAAAGCTTTTTCAAGAAAGCTTGAGGTCGGAGCGGAGTTCTCCTCAAAGTTCCACATTTCCCACTTGTCACTTGCAGCATGAAACGAAAAGCTATGGAAGCAACGTAGCAGAAAAGGAGGCTCTGTTGCAAGAATAGCTGATTGGAACTTGGTATCCCCGTGTCTGTGTCTGTGTCTCGGTTTTTTCGGTTGATGGACTTGGCCTTTCTGATGATCGTCCTCGAAAGACTGCACCTGCGTAGCATACATCACTTTCGAGAATTGTCGCAGCCGCGCCAAAGCTGGAGAAAGGGACACCTTGAATCTACAGCAAGCGCGGCATGTGTGCGTGTGTGTGAAGTCCATCCAACCTTCAGAATGGATTATGCAATTTCAACCAAGAATTCTCTTGTCGCTTATTTTTCGGTTCAGTGTGGGCCCTTTGTCCCTCTCAAATGATACAAAGGGCGGATGCCAAATTACCAACAGAAACGAACAGAAACATCAAAATCATCAAACACAAACATAACCTCCCAGAAATCTATACTATGAGGCTCAATGTATACAGAAATGCAGCAAAGTTGCAGAGCTACCTCCTGGGGCCAAAATCCAAGCATTCTGGCAAGCATCTCTTGCAGAAATTCGTTCGGATGGCTGCCTCACATCAGACTTCCAGCGATATTGTACACAGATCTCACTCTCAAACTGAAACGCAAACCCTCTTATAGTCATAGTGTTGCTTGTCACCTTTTCCCGCTCCACTATGTTCAACTGCAAGGCTGTAGCCTTTGCAAGTTGTCGTATTATATAAAACGTCTGTCCCAACATCTATTAAGCCTGAAAAGCAAGATCCAAAGGCTGTCAAGCAGCATTCTGAGAAGCTCTCGGATAAGTGTCTTTGCACCATCAGAGATCATATCCCAGTCCTGTCGTTAGCAATGCGATGCAGAAAGCCCCAAACCGCAAGGCCCAAAGCATGTCAAACACCAGCAAATGCCAGAACCTGCTGAGGGAATGCAAAGTTTCCACGACGGATCATCATCTCCGTTTTCTTATCGTCAAACTCAAACCAGAATGGAGGATAGCCACAGAGCCTCAGATGAAGATAATCATTCATGTTGAAACGAGAGGGACAAACAAGACGTATCGAAACAGACTCGGTGAAATAATGTTCAAGACTATCAACCACCCGAAACAGTTGCATTTTTTATTGTTCCCAGAAAATATGTAATTATGCTATTTCACGGTTGCGGCAAGCATCCCAAAATGCAAAATAAAGTGGATTACTCAAATAGCACGAGCAAACCCATACTGTGTCAAAAGCGAGACAGGCATGGTGCTGTTGCGCGTGTCAACTTGCAAATTTCTTTTCTAGGAAAAGAACAACAAAAACAAAAGGGTAGAATCGGTGAGAGATTTTTGTCCAAAAAAACGATCGTTCGGAAGGCCCATGTTTCTCATACTGTCCTTCCGTCACTTCTGCAGGTGCTGCTGAAAGGCAAAAGATACATCAGAACACCACAGCTCCACATATCTACCGCCAAGTCGTAGCGACCCGCAAACACCTGTGTAGTCAAAACCATGGAAGTCCAAATCTGGCATACTGCTGCCACTTTAGCCCTTGGATCCCTTGGACAGCCCTAGATGCATGGTTGTAAAACCTGAAAGTCACGAATTTGCCGCATCGCGTTGCAGCTGGCTGTAGAGCTGTGCTTATCCAGGAACTTCATGATTCATCGCGACGCAGCAGAATATTCAATTTGGAGCTTAGCAAACTCAACAAGAAATGGAGAAAAATTGCTGACTACTGTGCTGCCGCACCTGTGGCGCCATATAGGGCAATGTACCCACCTGTGGTTTGCCGCTCGTTAGTGCACCATAATGAACCCAACAAAGTTCCACAGCCACACACACACGAGCACGCCACATTGTTGAGCTGACATTCTGACGAACACCAAGGACCCTGAGGTTCCAACAACACCCTGGAGGTCTGTCTTACACTCGGCTGCCAAGCCAAAGTCTGCGACCTGACCAAAGAAGAACTTGGAAGCAGAAATCAACTGATCTCCCCTGGGACGCGTAAATCCAGTCCTTGCACATCCTTGCACAACTTGATCCCAGGAGGGAAGGTCGGCAGTAAAGCGTGGGCACGGCCGTTTTGACGCTTGAGCCATGCAAGTATGAGTCTTGCATTTGTGAAAATGATATGTGAGGCATCTTACCCCAAAGCATTTCAAACCCCTGCCCCGGACAGTTCGGCCTTACATTCCTACGCCCAAAGCGCAGGTCCGATCAACCACGCAAGGAATGGAACCTCCCCGGTCAGGGTTCCGCTCCGTGTTTGCGACGTGCAAGCATCAAGCCAAGCCGTTCGGGCAGGAAATGCCGGTTACTGCATTGATGCAGTAGTAGTAGTACTTTAGGGCGATGTGGCAGAGCCAAGGGGATGCGCTGCACATCGAGGTCGGCGCCGTAGCGCCATCGCAAACCTAAACAAAGGAGAAATCCTTAGTCAGAACCCTTAGAAAGTCCAAAGACACATTACCAACACCCTTAGGATATCTGGTTTCCCAAATTCTAGAAACCACTTTAGAAAGCCAGTCGGCACATTCCATGGTATCCCCAACTTTCCACCATCCAAAACGGCGAGACATATGATCACAACAAGTAAGCGAGGACGGTCGATAAGGACAAGTCCAAGCATTGGTGATCCCAGTGACCGAGTTCATCACAACCATCCCTAATACATGTAGTATCAAAATTCGCATGAGAATGAAAACAGGCAGGGGAGCGCGCAGCACCCAAGAGGAGGGTACGGTACGCGGGGCCAACTTGGAGTTGGTTTCTCATGCCATCAAAATCCCAAGTAAGGAAATCCTCAACAGAACCATTGAGCTCATGATTATCATGACGTTCCTGGTTAAGGAAAAGGCCATAATTGAACCATCGCCAACCCATGCGAAGTTGGTGTTGCAAATGTGACACATAATCGTTACCTGGACGCCCAAGGTCAAGACGAAAAAACGAATTTTGAACAGCCCAAACCCACGGTTGGACAATAGCCCAGCCTTTGTCCTTAAGCCACTGTTTCAGCACAGCTAACGGGCTTCCTCTCCCCGCTTGCCAATTAATTTGGGACCCATGTTTCATAAAATGGACAATACGGATAAGGTTGACCGCAGCGATACAGTCTAAATGCGAGAGACCACCAGTGAGAACACAACGAAGATACGGGCTAGCGGCCTTCAACGTTTCCTAACCCAGCCTTAATTCCGCCCAAAGTTTCTTACAAACTGCCTGAGTAGGGAGTCTACTGATCCAACCATAGGCACACCGGCATTGATGCAGTTTCGCAGTCTGTCTGTAATTGTCTGTACAAAATGGTAAATCTTCAACGGCAAGGTGTTGGATATCCAAGACCCGTAGGGTACTTAGATCCGCGGACGTGACCCGTAGGGTACACGCAGGCATCTTGCTAGGTAAACACCTAAATTGGGATTCTTTCGAAAACTGCAATGAAAACAGATCATCATTACTGCACAAAGTCCTCACTCTACGCTACTCCTAGCCTCAGTTCCCTCATCACCAACTGCTTCGGTATTGGCGCTCTGATGGACACTTACTACACCTCAGCGTTAACTTTCGCCTCAGCATGCAGTACTAACATCGGCGCAAAGGCAAAGATGCACGCATCACCACTCCGCCAGACGAATAGCGTAGATCAAGGTTCCATAAAGCTTCCATAAACTTGATCCTTGGTAACACCTTAGTGAACAGGTCGGCAAACTGATCCGTGCTCTCAGTGTACCTTAGATCTAGCCCCAAAGTTTGGACTGATTCATGGATGGCAGCAATGGGAATTTTATGGGCCCTATTCATCAATTTCAATTTTGCATTGCGCCCACTCCGAAGAATGTGAACGCAGGCTTGGTTATCTTCATGCAGAACCAAAGGGATTGACCGACCCAAAATCATCTCTAAAACCGTTTGAATTCGTAAAGCATCCCCATACGATCCGTCATTGAGGGCAACAAGTTCTGACTCGGTAGTGTATGGGCATTGAATGCAAAGGAAAATTCCTGAATGCGACTTCATGGTGCAAACGTTTCCACCAAAGTCAGCGCCAGTATTCAACCGTTTCAGACGAAACTCTGACAGAACACCCAGCACCAACATCTACCGTGGAGCTCATGTAACCACCAAAATGGATGCAGACCTTTCCCCAAGATTACCAGTTATTTCCCAATCACTAGCGATCAATTCTGAGTCAAGGTAAGCAGCTGCAACCTTCTTCAAAGGCTTATCACCGACAATATGCAAATACATGTCGACAGCCGATGGACAATATTCACGCATCGACAAGAACAAATCCTTACCAGCCTTGACAGAGGAAATAAGATGGTCACGGCCTAAATACCTCCCAGGGATACTCACACCATCAACTTTCCAAAATTCATCTACTTCATGTTGGGGTCCTGCGACAATGATATCATCAACATAAGCGGCAACAAGAACACGTATTGTTTCATTCCACCAAGGTGAAGGAAAACATTCAACAGGTTTAAACCCCATTTTGGCAGTGAGGATCTCTGATAAGTGTCGAAACCCGTCGTCGCCTGCTTGCTTCAGGATGTCCATATAATGGAGGACCGCTGGTCGGCGGCATTCGGTCCCCATCCCGGACGCCAACAAAAATATGGTAAGATGACCCAAGTTGGGGATTGCTGTTCGCAACAAAGCTTGCAAATATGCTTCCTTCGCATCAGCTATAAGAACCGCCAACTGTGTGTAGCAAACCCTAAAACAGAAACAAAGAGACAGTTTGAATACCAACTCCCGAAACTTCGCTGGCAACCCGTCCTGGTCCTTAGTGGCATCCCCACGGAACACCAGCCTTCCCTTGTGTTGGGAAAGCGATGGTCCCAACTCGTCAAGCTTGATGGATCCTATTTCCATCACCTCTGCAATGTGGATCTTCTCGCCTGCAGCCGTAGCCTTTTGGCGTAAATCGTCCACCTCGCAAACAGGGCTTTCATCCCACACATTCATCTGCCTAACTTCCTGTGCTTCTTTCCTAATTGCTCCTCCTGCTTTCGGATCTTCTTTTATTCTTTCCTAGAAAGCACTCTGTGCACAAGAGCCTGCGCATGTTGGAGGTGTTCAGCTGATCTGCAAGTCTTTCCCATTTCCTTGGGGTACATTCTTCGGAACTGTCAACCACAGTTGGCATTCTGCGCACCCCTTCAAGGAACTTTTCGGGAAACACTGAACACAAGATTGAAGTAGCCATAGCCCTATTGTAAAACCCACTAAGGTACGCCAACTTCCCCCCGTCCAAGTGGTCATGACGAAACTCTTTAGGATGACGGCATCTTTTGTCATTCATTTCAACCGCAACCCTGTCATTGGTGGTCACAATACGCCATGGTTTCAGGGGCTTCAATCCCTTGATAATCAAACCAAACGCGCACCTGCAAGGATACACAGAGTACCTGTCATGTTCGGCAAGCATGTCAGCCAACTCTTTAACTTTCTCCCACCCTGAACACCAGCGAGGCCATTCGAAGCTACTTGAACCCTGCGATTCCAGAGCAAGCAGCAACCTCAGTCAAGGAAGAAAAATTGGTGACCAAAACCCTTGATTCATTTTGCCTAGCCTCCAAGTTTTCTTGGAAATCCTCATTCAAACAATGCTTGTTGAGGTGTTGCCATGGACACCAAAGTGTGCATGGAAGCGATCCCCAAAGAAGAGTTTTACTCCCCCAAAGCCCTTCTCTCATTTGCCCACATCAGACTTGGTGCATGCGGTGCGTGTTGGTGAGATCATAGACCTCCTTAGAAAGACCAGCGTAAGGAATCCCCAGTTCCGCGGCTAGCTGGCTAGCTTTCTGACCTCGCTGTGCTTTGCGCACAACAAAACTCAACAAACCATGAGGTGTTGCCATTCCCCTTCGATTTCCTAACCTTTGGTTTGGGAAGGGTGGCCATGGCTTTTGCCAAGCGAGCTGAAAGTGAAGTCTCTCCTGCGCCTCCATGTTCAGTGGCATCGAAGAAAACAGAAGCAATTGCAGCATGACCACTTTCACACTTTTCGACAAGGTCAGATTTTTTTCCCAGAGGCTATCAATACTCTAGCGCTGTCAAGCTTGGAATTGTAACCCGGATCATCAAAAATGTCAAGCTCAGGGAGTTCCAAGTTCCAACACTTTGGGTTCCCTACTGAAGAAGGTAATGTTCTTCAGCTCCGTCTTCCCTTTCTGCGCTTTGCGCGGGTGGCAGTTCCCACGAAACTCCCATTCCCCCGGCCTTAGGCGCCTCTCCTGCAGAAAGGATTCTTTTGCCCCCGGAAAGCGGCTCAGCATTGTCCAACAAAGCGTTGTAGGACCTTAAATCTTGATCCTCATCGGTCTGATGGACCTTCTCCTTTCCCTTGGGGTTGAAACATCCTCGCCTTTAGTGGGTACTCCTTCCCCACGCCCCAAGCAAATCATTCCCATCATCCCCATCACCCCCTTCTTCCCTCATGGTTTTCAGTTCTGGCGGAGGCGCGAAATCATCAAGTTGGACCTGTCCTTCGGATGATCCTGTTGCCTTGAGAAGGAATTGCCATTTTCCATTTGGAAAAGCCAATGTGCGAACCACACGAACCCTCAAAGACCCTTTCAAAAGGTGATCAAGCGGCAACACTTTGTGATTTCCTTTGTACAGCTCCAAGGTACACGGCTGGAACCCCTTTTGGTTCAAAAGTCCTACCACCTGATTCCTTGAACCATACCAACGCTCCAAAGGGAATCATGCAACCTTCTTAGGGATATCCATGGGCAGCCTCAAAACATGTCAGTGGAGGATCCAGCATGACCCTAGACATGGTATTGTCAATGGATTGGTTTAGGGGAAAATGTACAGGAAACCATAGAATTTCCCTTTAAGTCTGGGGCTTTGTTGTAAATTTTCCCTTAAACCAATACATTGATATTGATGCTGTAACTGAATTCAAAATATTTTGCAGCAAACGGCCACATGTCAAAGTCCATCCCAGCATGCTGTACCAAAACGGAAACTGACTCTTTAATCTTTAATTGCTCCAATAGCGGCGAGTTCTTGGCCTTCATGTTGGGCGCAGCGGCGTCAGAAACAAATCCTAGCTGCTTTACTGCCTTCAAGATTCCCAATTCACGGTCTGAAAAAACCTCAACAATGCCAGGGGCCACAGTTCCACAAAAGTGCCTGAGTGCCAGTTCGGCTTCTTCTGCACTACGCTCCTCACATTGATGAACACCGAATAATCCAGAAAACCTGTTAACTATGACCAGTGCATGCTTGTCACCCGTCTGACCGACAAGATCGGACGCGATAAAATCAACACCTATCCTTACAAGGTGTTGTTCTGGATCTTCCTTGTCCCTAGCTTCCCTAAGGGCTTCCCTTTGGTTTTCTGGCCGCCTACGGCCTATATATGAGGAGATTCATACAATTTCGCTTGCAAACGCGCATCGCAAGAGCGACTAGTCATGAGGTGACCTGCAGGCAAATTATCGACCCAAGTCTCATCAGCTGGGCTATCCTGAGAACCCTCCTCAGCATTGACGGCCCGTGGGGCACGACAGGCCGCAGCTTCCTCAGCACTGGCACAATGATGAACCTCACTGCTCTCAGGAGATGCCTCCGCACTTTCCGTCCGTGGGACGCGATTAGCTTCGGCTTCTCCAACTTCCGCCCCCCTCCCAAGTCCTGAAGGAGCTTGTTGAAATTCTGCATTCTCAGCTTGAACGTGAATCTCTGGATTCCCCCCCGCCAAGGAAAGTAAAATAAGACCATGTTGGAGCTCACACTGGAAACGGAAAACCGGAACATTGTTATCAACATGGTGCGCTTGGACACATTCACCTTTGTAACCATGGGGGCCGAGAAGGTTTCCAATGAAAAGAAAGTCCTGACTTGTTGACACGTTGACCGATGGAAAGCACACGTGGACAGTCTTCCAACATGTATAGGTTACCCATCTGCTGCATTTCATAAGAACAAATGCCTAGAGTTGAACTAGCAGGTTTTGTTGCTCCACCGGGGTCCGGACTCTGAATTCCAAGCATCCTGTGTCTTCAAGTGCATGCCCTCCCTCAGCTCAGCCATCATTTCCCTCCAGGAGGGCCCCCTGTGAGATGCCGTGCGCGGGACGGGCGCCTCCCTGGCTTTCTCAGGCAGCCTATCTTTCTTCACCCTATCTTTTCGGTGGGCCTCAGAGGAAGGTGAACTTCTACTTAAGGAAGTACCCTGACTAGCAAAAGCAGGTACACCGTCAACAGATCATTGTAAATTCCGGACTTGACGACGACGTTCAACCAAACTGACTAAAACCCACGACCTTTCAGATCAAGCTGCGAAGTTTTGCCCAGAATCAGCGCAGTTGGTGCTTGTCGATGTCACTCGATGCAGTTGGCGAGTTCAGCAAAGGATTGCCAATGGCTGCAAGGCTCTTAACCAGTAAAGCGCGGGCACGGCCGTTTTGACGCTTGAGCCATGCAAGTATGAATCTTGCATTTGTCAGGATGTTATTTGAGGCTATACCCCAGAGCATTTCAATTGTACGAAAGCTAGGTGGCTGGGAGCCCGGAAATTGCCAGCATCGAGCGTCCTGTGGGAGAAAGGTGCAGCATATCTCTGGATGGAAAAGAAATAGTTGAGGAGAGACAAGTACATGGGTAGGAAAACACCCCCCAAAACACACGCTGAAGAGCAATGCTCCTTTTCGGTTCGATGCATAGACAGAGTGGATATGCGCGAGGAAAGAGATAGAAAGAAAGAGAGAGAGAGAGAGAGACTTGGAAAACAGGATATGACATGAGAATTCTCAAAGAAGCACACAAAGAATCAAAGGAGGCAACACAAATAAGCTATACAAAGGGATGCGATATGGTGACAATGATGATCATGATACCTCAACAAACATCACGCCAGCTCAGGGGGGAACGAGGAGGGGACCAGGCGTGGGACGGGGGGGATTGAGTTTCTGCTCATCCACTTCCAAGACGAGCGAACCCAGGGGTTGGTTTCGGAAAGAAACTTTCGAGGGATTGAACCTCCTAGCCTCTCCCTGTTCCTGGCTAAAGCAAGAGTGACTTCAGCTAGCACATGCTAGCTTTCGTGATTACATGCACAGCACCGTGCTATCGGCATCTGCAACGACATCCTGTGTTATACCTGTTGGTGAATATGTTCAAGCCCCTTGACCTTTCCACATTTCCCTTTTTTAACAGCCCTGGAGGCCCCAAACACACCAAGCACGGCATGGCACAAAGCTGATGTAAAGACACACACAGCTTCTTGACATAGTGAAGGCCTTTAGCACGTTCTCTTTGATAGGGTTGCGATTCAACAACAGGAGATTCTCTGGCTTGAGATCCCGATGGCAAACGCTGCAACTGTGCAGGAAGTTCACCGCATTCAAGACCTGCAAGAGCAACGTCCCAAAATTGACTGCAATCTAAACAAACTGAAAGAACTTCTCCTTCACATTCACCTCATCAGCAATGATGGCATATGTCGGCACTAGGCTCGCAAAGTTCTACCATCGAACTTAAGTTTTTCAGGACACTGGATCGTTCTCTTCGCTCTCTCAAACAGCTCACCTGGCGCATGATCAGTGCAACCTGGGATTCAGTGTGGTTTCCTTGCTCCAGGATGAAGGCAGCCTCAAATCGCCCGCACATCGAAAGCATGACTCTCCCGGTATCTCCGAGTGCTGTCTTCCAGGTTTCGAAGCATTGCCGCTTTAACTGCCAATCGGGTTAGAGTCATGGCGCCTTGCCGCTCCCTGAAATCTCTATCCAACATGATCCTTTCTCAAGTTTGAATCCCTTCCCCCATGGACAAACACATCCTCTCTTGGAGTTTGGAACTGTACAATCAGGTAAAGCGGGGTCAGTTTAGAGAGACCTATCAGCGGTATCAATCCCCCCCAGACGTGCGACGTGTTCTCGCATACCTGACAAGTGCTATTGCTGCATTGGCCCCATGTTTGCGCATTTCATATTTCCGAGATATCTTATTTATGCAAACCAAGTCAAAGATGTCAAACTTACTCTTTTCCACCGCATGATTCCCTACTGTTTGTGGCCAAAGGGGCCAACTCTCCGCCTTGGCAAAGCTCCATCACCATATACACAAAGTTCTCATCCTCGAAGGTCTCACGCAAATTCACTACCTTGGAACTTTCTCGGTTGAAGTTGAGGAGGTTCTTGCCATTATGAATGTGCAATGCGTGAGAACAGATGAAACTCCAAAATGTTAAAGTCGTCGATTTATTTTTGCAAACCTCCTCATGAGCTGTTGCTCTCCCACTGCGTCGGGACACGTGCTGTTCGTGCTGAACACGTTGCATCACAGCTACCTGCTCATCAGGAGAACAGGAACAGTGGGTCGCGTTCGGCTCTCAGTCGGTCAGTTTGGGAATTCGGATACCGATCACGGCCAATCACGTGGTCAAATTTCCTCCAGCCATTTCTTTGGCATTTGCCTTTTTGGACATATTTACAAATGTTGGCTTTCTTTATCCAAACTTTATCCTCTAGCTCCAGCCACTCAGGTGGGCAAAGCTTGACTCAACCTTCAACTGCTCAGAGCCTGAATGCACAAGCATGAGCAAGCAGTTGAACTTTTGACAGGGTCTGTCGTCTGTCAGAAGAAGTCTGTTTTCTTTTGTTCTACTCTGGGGTCCCAACCATCATTAGAATGCCTACAGTACAGTTATGTTCTTAAAGTGTTTGCATATTTTGAATCTTTTAAGATCTTTTAAGATCTTTTAAGATCTTTTAAGTATTCCAGTATATTCCAGTGCCCTCTTCTCGGTTCTCTGGTGATCCGCCTCCTGCTTCAATCGCTGGGCATTGCGGCGCCGCTTGGACTTCGTGTTGTCAGGCAGCTTTGGCACTGACTGGACACGGCACACGCAGCAACGGCACAGGCCACAATGAAATGGAACAGGATGGCACAGGCCATAATGATTGAACATGATTGAACTGTTGAATTCAACCAATTCAACCAATTCAACCTTTCTTCGCATTCTTATCATAGTACAAAACAAGCGGCCAGCTGAGACCAAAATGTACACACATTATATAGATCTTGATTTTTATTGAAGAACACTCAAGCACAAGATGTTTTTGCTCACAAGATTTCACAACCAAAGGGTTGTAGAAAATGAACGCATTTGCTCTGCAGCAACATGTGCAACATATGTGCAACATATGTGCAACATATGTGCAACATATGTGCAACATATGTGCAACATGGGCGGTCATGAAAATATGAATGGAACATCGTGTGGGATATATGGAAAATGACAAATGATGTGAGACATGCGATATGCGATACTTCCAATGTGTGTCTTATGTGATGCGTGATATGTCGTATATGGCATGTGATGTGATATGGTATGACGTGATATGCATATGCATATTATATCTATATCTATCTATCTATCTATCTAGCTAGCTAGCTATCTATCTATCTATCTATCTATGTATATATTATATTATATTTAAAAAATGTAAGTGGCTACAATGATAGGACTTTCCTGGACAAAGGCGGCAAAGGAGCCCAGTTGACGCCTTCACAGCAACTGGAGTGCCATCCTTCGCAGTTGCTTTTGTCACGAAGCCGAAACCGCCAGCACCTCGGCAACAAATTACGGAGAAACAGCACGTGTGTGACAGCTTGCGGCTTGCGGCTTGCCTTTGCAAGTCGATTTATGCTGCAGGATGCTGCCGGAATTTCAAAGGTCCACCTTCTTGGTGCAAACCGAGTAGCTAACTTTGATGCCCTGTCGTGTGTAGACATCCCAAACACATCCTTTAGATTGTCCCGAAGACCATCGGAGAGCGGCCATTGCTTGAAAGTCTTGCCCCGTTCCCGGAAACGAGGATCTCAACGCATGGACAAAAAGCACAGGATATCTCACGACTCATGCAGAATTGTTCAGACGCGTCGATGCTTAAAACAAATACAACAAGGTCAGATAGATTATGTAAGCAAATGTATTAATATAGTGTGCACATAGATTGCACGCAGACCTGGGCAATTAAAGCCAGAATGACGCGATTCAGTGAATTCGATCATCTGGACCAAATCAATATACAATCCATCCCAATGAAGGGAATTGCATACGTGCAACTTGCATTCATGAAGTGACTTGTGCAGTCATATCAAATGCCACGTCATGTCGCATCTACGCATCTACCCACCAAGTGGATCAAGGTTGTTTTCTGCCTGCTTCTTGTTGATTGGGTTGATCATACTTGACAGAAGTGCAGCCCTTTCGTCAGTCAGGCGAGGGAGCGCATGGTCAGTGTGCTATGTCAGCTTGCTCTGTGAAGAAAGATTTGTTGAATTCATGGATGGAGGTCTCAGAATCAATACAGTAGGTACTCAGTAGGTCTACGTAGGTCTCAAGAATTTGACCAGCGCTGCACTGGGCAGGACTGACGTTCGGCTTCAGTCTGCCACAAAGTACCCGCAGAAAAGGCGCTGGGCCTTGCCACCTGGAAGAACAATGACAGCCATGCAAAGCCGTGCCATGATCTAAGCAGAATCTAACCTCAGTCCACATGCGACAAGTGTTGTAGTGCTGGAGGTTGGCAGGGACATGCGCGAGCTACTTGCCTGCTTCGCAGGCGGGTGAAACATCCTGAATCAAGCCCTGTCCTGACCAAACCAAAATAGATTAAATAACAAGTTTCGGAATACGCGACATTGAAAATCATAGGTCACGTACCTGCAGCTTATTATCTAGAAGCATACTCTATCTCACTATGTAACATACTGTAATACCACCAGCACTATACAACTGCAGGTGTTTTCTCATTCTTCTTGCTTGGATTCCAGGATACAAAAAAAAGAAGCATTCACATCATGCATGCAGCCTGGCTCCTGTCCAAACCAGCTGTATTTGACTGCACGTTGTGAACATTGCCAAATTTCAGTGAGACTGGACTGACGCCATGGGTGGGCTCACTTGACGTACGGCACTTCCCCCTTGGCAGGATTAGATCTCTCTGCTGAGTCTGCTGCTTGTGTTGGGCACCCTCTTGTCTCCCAAAAACTTTGACCACAGGCATGTGAATGATTGTGAATGACTGTGAATGATGGTGAATGATTGTGAATGATTGTGAATGATTGTGAATGATTGTGAATGATTGTGAATGATTGTGAATGCGTGTACTTGGAGGGGTCGTCTGCCAAGGAGACAAGCAATCAAGGATTAGACAACATAGAGATACATAGAGAACAATAAAGAATAAAGAATATAAAGAGAATTAATAAAGAACATGATCCATGTTGATCCGTTGATCCTATGGCTTGGCCTGAGCTCAACACCCCTTGCAATTTTCCACCGAAGTAGGCAGAAAAGGGAGCTAGCACTAACGACAGTGTTGCCGACCTCAAGACAAAAATGTTCCTCACTCGAAACTCCATTGGAGTTCTAGTTGCTGTAATTACTAAGACAACGACACAACCTGCACGATGGCATAGGAAATAAAGAGGCCACCCGCCTTGCATCTCAAAGATTTTCCACGACTTGTTGCCGGCAAACAAACATGCAAATCACTCAAGTGGCAATAATATGAGTCCAACACGTCCGCCACTAGCTGCATGCCCACGCTGTTGAAACATCTGCCCTGTCGCAGAGATGCAAGCCCTTTGTCTTGGCATGCCCAGAACAGATGCAGCTGTCAAACTTGCTGCATTCCAAATGAGTATAAACGATCATGTGTCTGAGCTCATGCGGTTCCAGCCGCATGATGGTGTCTAAGCATGTATCAGCTATCTGAGTGGGTAGAGGTTGCCGTTCGGTGTGCCTGCTCGAGCTCTGACATGAAGCCCTGAGTACCAGCTCCAACCTCAAAATTTCCCGGCAAGTGATTTACATTGATTTACAAGAGTTTCACCCGTTGATCACAAAACTGGGACTTCTGATTCGCTCTCGAGGCAATGTCAATTGGTCCAAGGCTAACACCACGAGGCCGAAAGCCAGCCACTTCACTAGGCTCGAGAACACGTTGGTTCCGGCTTTGAAAACAACTGCGTCTGGCCTTTGCTCTTGGTATGAAGCAACGTCTGGAAGCTTCCAAAATGGCTAGCAATGACTCAGTAACTGACCTGCAATCTCGTATCTTTCCAGCCATGACTGTAAGCTGCCGGCAGAGTAAAGATAGTGATGATGTCTACAAGGTCCAAGAATATCCCAATGGCCGCCTCAATTGGTTGAGCCTTTTCAGTTGTAATTACCTTGCACCGTGTCGATCTTATTCAAAAACAGATTTGGAAAACAAGCCACGCACCAACAATCGGCCGAGGACAGCGCTAGAATGTATGACCAGGCTGTGACTCGGGTCACCATCTGATTGGTTTTGCAGACCTTGCTGCAACAAAACATGAAGCTGCAGAGTGCCTTCATTGGTATAACTATTGGATACTAATGGTGACTGATGGCCAAGTCATTGCCTGGGTGCCCCACGGGCGTGGAGCAAGTTCGGGATATATCAGCAAAATCACGGCACCAATTGAATTCACCGCCTGAATTCGGGAGCAAATACAAGCAAAACTTAGAACTTATTGAAAGATATGTATATATATGTGTGTGTGTGTGTTTATTTATTTATTTATATATTTATTTAGGGTTAGTTAGTTAGTTAATTAGTTAGTTAGTTAGTTATTTAGAAATGATATATGCAACATATGTATGTATGTGTATATGTGTGTAAACATATATATCATATATATATTATATATATATATATACACTCGTATACCGTATACCGTATACATGACATGCATAAAATAAAGTCAGCGTTGCAAAAAAAGTGAGCTACAGCTACTGAGCTACTTCTAAAATGAAAAATATCTGTTGGCCTGTTGGCCTTCGGTTGATCCGTGCTGGTGGGAACTGAGCTTCCAGCATGTTGTCAAACCATCTTGGCAATACAGCCCTACAATTGGATTGCGCGAGCCTTGAGGTGCATCCAAGTTCTTGGGCTTCTCTGTCAAATTGGCTGTGCTTCCACGTGGCTGCAACATGTTTGCCACTTGAGGTTCGAACAGAAGTATCCCGGAGGACAGCAGGAGTCCCAACCTGGGCGGGTTTGGCAAAGCAGTGTTTTTTCCCATTGCCAGCGCCGGCAAGACAGGATCTTGGGTGAGCAGGCATCTGTCTTCCCTCGCGTTGTCGCAGTCATCTAGGGTACTTCCTTGAGAAGGGTGTCATGTAGCAAGCGGCAAAGACAACAACAGTAAGAAAGCATCACAGGCAAATGGCAGCAAGACAATGGAGGCCACCAGCTCTGACTTTTCTGCAAGAACGTCATTGCATTCTGTTCTGATCAGCTCTCAGCTTTCCATCACTAAAGACTCTTTCCTCAATTTTTTCCTGCTGCAGCTGAGGCACTGAGACAGGGAAGGTTCTCCGAGCGCAATTCGCCCCGATAATTTTCCGTCCTCTCACTCTTGTCTTGCCAAAAGATACCACCCAAAAACTCAATGTCCACCCAGCTTCCCAAAGACAACTGGAAGTGAGTCTCTGAGCTCCCGACAATTGATCCATGAACTGTTCAAACACAAACGCAAACGTAAAGGATGTAATTGCCGTTGCCAAACACATACCTGGCTTTGGAACAGCACGGGACAGGCACGGAAATTCCACGAACAAGTGCCACACAAAGTATCGTCCGCAGTCCGCAGCGTGTCAACATTGAAGCGTCTGTCAGTATGTTCCACATGCATGAATAAACATAGAATGTCATGTTACAGGTGACTTGATGTAGTGTGGTGTGTGTGTGTGTGGTCAGGTTGGCGAGACTACGTCTCAAATCAGCAGCTGGAACTGAGCAAATGGGTCTGCTACTCAATGTCGCTACGATCTATTCCTGTTTTAGGAAACATTCGGTGTACTGACTGCGCTGTTTGTTTGTCTGATGCTTAGCCATTCCAACCCAGGCACCAGTAAGGAAGATCTGAATTACTGCTCGTGTGCTGCATCGCTTCGCCATGATGAACACCTGCACAAACAAAGCGCATCATGTTAAGAACCCCATGTGGACATGACACATCAGAGCACCGTGCAAACAATATCGAACAATTTGCAGTGATAAATAAATCTCCCCGAGAGTGTGATGGTGAGAGACTCTGAGCCGCATAGCATATTAGAGCGCGAGTCGATCTGTCAATGTTTGCCTGTGGTGCCCACGCGCTCACAGAAAGGAGCTGCAAAGGCTTCCCACCACCAAGCTTGGAAGCCAAAAATTCCGATTCCCAAGGCAAAATATTCAAAACATATCCATGCCATTCCGTGCCCTCTGCCAAAAGAAAATGTAAAAAAATGCAACCATGTGCAACGTCTGTAACAATGCACTGACAGAACTGGCACGAATCCCGTTGCTTGTTTTGCCCGGCTTTTGGTCTTTCAGAGCCTGGCACCCACGACGCAGCATCTGTACTGAGTGCTGTTTGGTGCTTCAGGTACTGCCTTTGGCAAAGGCTCTTTTGAATTATGTATATAAATGTTTGCCCGAAAAAAAAATTGCCTGATTTCTCGGACATTCACGAAAGTTGTCATAGGTCAGCCAACCGCAGGCGAAGAGACTGGAAACATGCAGAATCTCGAAAGGCTGCCTGGATGTTTACTTTGAAAAACCGTCGCTTCCTACCAAGCCCACGGTTGGAGAGAGTAGCCGGAGATGTCTTCCAATGCGGGACATGAAAAAAGCAACGCAAAATGTGGCCACCTCGGGATTCGTACATCGGTTCAACTTGAATGTTATGAATCCTGAAACTCATTTCTTTCAACCTGGGGATGGCCACAAGCAGCGGAACCCTAAAAGCTTTGGCTCTGGCAGGCTGTTGCCTGAGCGAAAATCGCAGTGCACTGTTCCAAGCATCGCTGGGGCCGGGCACAGGCACCCAGCGACTCTTCGCGCCTCACCGCGAGCCGCTGTGGCTTGTGCTCAGACAGTTGGCGGTAGCCCAGCAACAGACACCAAGTTGATGCAGTAGCGGTTTCCTTTGGCGTCCTTGCTAGCAACAGGATACCGGCATGGGGTAATTTAAAAAAAACCTACGTGCAAACACATCACAAACGCAAAAAGTCGCAAAGAGATTTGAAAATAAAATTTAATAATCAAAGGAATCAAATGCATGAACTTCATAGGCAGAACAACTCCGAGGCCCTAGGCAACTCTTCAAGATTTTCACACTGAGCAGCTGGGATGTTGTGACCAAGATGTGTGCCGTCTACTGAAACGCATTCACCACTAGGCAAACAACGAACGTTCTCCCAATTCACTTCCTCGCATTGAACATGCTGCCGAAACTTGGTGAACAAGTTCGTGAAGCCGGTCAGCCAACGATAACGATGATTGTGGAGATTTGGTGTCATGATTGTGGGTGCATTGCGTCTGTGTCATTGCATATGCTGCATAACCTATTTGCATGACCTATTTGCTCCTCGTCCCTGAAAGATGGCCAGCCATGAGTAAATGACTCCTGCGGGTGAACCGTCTCCAAGCCAAACGGTTGCACCCGTTGCAGTGTCTTGACGAATTTTTTCGTAGTTCACACTGTTTCACACCCGTCGGCCTTCTCAAAGTCCTTCCAGCTCCTCCCCGTTGGTGCTACAAACAATGGTTTTCCAGACACCGAGTCATAGAAGGTCTCGCCCTGCCGAAACCATTGGGAAAAGAACATGCAAAAAGAAACAGCAAGAAGAACTACCACCCTTACGCAGCCATTGCAACCCTGATTTCCCTCTGCAGGTTGATCAATCTCTTACCCACCACAATAGGAAACATGTGAGCAGCTGGCCTCACGGCTAGCCTCTTTCAGGAAATTAGTGGAACTCCAATACCCTGCGTATTCTGCGAAGTGACGGTTGTAGGAACAGATCCTACACATCGGGAATGATGCAGGATATTTTCGGATTTTCTTCCTCTTTCAAATTCCAAGCTAAAATTCCAGAATCACAGCCAGCAGCGCTCCGATCATAGTTTGAAAACGGAACCCACCGATTTTACAATATATATATATATAAATAAAAACATTTCACTATCCGATAACGGCCGTTACTATACAAGAACAACAGGTGGTGTTCGTTCGTGTCCTGTCTGCGGTTGCCCGGTCAACCTTCCATCGCAGAACCTCCTGACATGATCAACGGGGCAAACATCCTACATCCAACCTACAAAAATAAAGCTGGAACTGGCACAAAAATCAAATATTAAAGAACTGTCCGCTGATGGAACAATAGCGCAATTGATTTGTTGTTGAATTTGGTTTCGTTCCCTCAGCACGAGACCTGTCTTGTACGGGAAATTCAGTGGATCCGTGCGCTTTGGGTTTCATGATGTCCTCGTTTCCTGAATCGGGGAATCTGTTGCGTTGTCGCTTGTTTCAGAATCATCACGTGGCCACCTTGCCCACACCTTGTACAGGAAAGCTGGCCGCCTCACGGCAACATGCTATACCATTCAGAAAAAAACATCAAATATTACCTGGGGTTGGAAACGCTCCAAAAATGATATTGAATTTGGCCTGTTGCCGGCACTTGCCGTGCACCTGATGCATGTCGAGTTCAAAAAAATTGCCGCCTTGGCTGGTTGATTGCGGAGCCCCAGAGCTGCCAACGCTGCAGCTACCAAACCCAAGCCCCAACGGCGCAAAGAATGCACCTGGCACAACGATGCAGTCATTCCAAACGTTGTGTAAATTAAAGGACCGGATAACCGTACAAGTCAACTACTTCCAATAAGCACAAAACAACTGTGCACATGGGATGGTAAAGGCTGGAAAAGGAAAGGAGATCGGAGATTGTGGAAAACGGATGGTGTGAAAGAGTTGTGCGTGTGTGTGTGTGAGAAATGTGTGAGTGTGTGAAAGTTTGTGCGCGTTAAAAATTTTGTGCGTGAAAGAGTTGTATGTGACAAAGTTGTGCATGACACAGTTGTGTGTAAAAGAGCTGCGCGCGTGTATGACAATGTTGTGCGTGAAAATGTTCTGTGTAAGAATTGTGTGTGGAAGAGTTGTGCGCGAAGGAGTTGTCAAAGGAAGTTTGAAATTCTAACTTCCGTGCGACGGATTTTGAAAATACCAATCACCACTATCACGATCACCACTATCACCACTATCACCACTATCACCACCGACGCAATATCACCACTATCACAATCACCACTATCACAACATCACCACTATCACAATATCACCACTATCACAATATCACCACTATCACAATATCATATCACCACTACCACAATATCACCATTATCACAATTCCACCACTATCACAATCACCATTATCACAATCATCACTATCACTATCACCACTATCGCAACCACCACAACAGAAGAGATTTCACAGCAAAGAGATCTCACAGCGCAGAAAAAGAAAGTCTCGCACGAAAGCTTTGTTTTCACATCTTCCACTTTCACTTTTTGAAGGACGTCTCGCAGGAAAGCTTCGGTGTCACATTTTCCATTGTCACTTTTGCAGGGATGTCTCGCACGAAAGCTTCGTTTTCACATCTTCCACTTTCAGATTTTGAGGGAAGTCTCGCAGGAAAGCTTCGGTTTCACATCTTCCATTTTCACTTTTGGAGGGACGTCTCGCACGAAAGTGTCGGTTTCACATCTTCCACTTTCAGACTTTGAGGGATTTCTCACACGGAAGCTGCGTTTTCATATCTTGAAGTCTCGCGCGAGAGGCATTTTTGAAATTTCGCGGATGCTGTGTTTTGCAGGACAAAACGTGCCTCGGAAAATGGATGGGGAAGCTTCCCCGGCGGGCGGTTGCGGAACACGCTCGTTTGAACCGGGATCATGGTCGGATCAGCCGTGCAGTGGAACTGCTAGTTCAGGCTTCATCTTCACAACTTGAACTTTCAAAATTTGAAAGGTGTCTCACACGAAAGCTTCGTTTTCACATCTTCGTCTCGCAGGAAAGCTTCGGTTTCACATCTTCCATTTTCACGTTTGGAAGGACGTCTCGCACGAAAGCTTCGGTTTCACATCTTCCACTTTCAGATTTTGAGGGATTTCTCGCAGGAAAGCTTCGGTTCCACATCTTCCATTTTCACTTTTGGAGGGACGTCTCGCACGAAAGTGTCGGTTCCACAGCTTCCACTTTCAGATTTTGAGGGATTTCTCACACGGAAGCTGCGTTTTCATATCTTGAAGTCTCGCACGAAATGTTTTTTTTTTGCAAGACAAAACGTGCCTGGGAAGATGGATGGGGAAACTTCTCCGGCGGGCGGTTGCCGAACACGCTCGTTTGAACCGGGATCATGGTCGGATGCGCCGCACAGTGGAACTGCTAGTTCAGGCTTCTTTCTCACAACTTGAACTTTCAAAATTTGAAAGATGTCTCGCACGAAAGCTTCGTTTTCACATCTTCCACTTTGAGATTTTGAGGGAAGTCTCGCAGGAAAGCTTCGGCTTCACATCTTTTGGAGGGACGTCTCGCACGAAAGCTTCGGTTTCACATCTTCCACTTTCAGATTTGAGGGAGGTCTCGCTCGAAAGCGTCGTGTGAGCAACTTCAACTTTCACTTTTTGAGGAAGGTCTCGCACGAGAGGCGATTTTTGAAAGTTAGCCGATGCACGAAAAGCATTTTTTTGCAGAACAAAACGTGCTTTGGAAGATGGATGAGGAAGCTTCTCCGGCGGGCGGTTGCGGCACACGCTCGCTTAAACCGGGATCATGGTCGGATTGGCCGCGCAATGGAACTGACAGTTCAGGCGTTGTTTTGCCGACATTCTTGCGCGTAGTTCTATTGTCTTTTGCAACTCAGTCTTTGCAGATCGCATTGTACTGGCTGCGTCAAGGTTGCTTGGTGCCGCGGCTGCGTGCGTAATACTCTTGTCTTTTGCAGCTGGAAATCGGAAATCGTATTGGAGTGGCTGCAATCAGGTTGCGATAGTGATTCGTCAACAAATTTTCTGAACTACATTGTCTTTTGCAGCTGGGCATCGTAAGTATTGGAGTGGCTGCATCAAGATTGCGTTAGTGATAGTGATTTGTCAGCAAATTTTCTCAATTTTGGCGCTGGTGATTTCCTTTTAAAATCATTTTAAAGCGCTTCAATCGCATTTTTTAAATTTTGGCGTTGAGATCTGGTTTTGGAGCTGCAATTTCTGACCCCGTTGGGCGTAGTTCTATTGTTTTTTGCAACTCAGCTGCGATGTGAAACTCTTGCGCGTAGTGTCATTGCGTTTTGCACCGCCGTCTCTGCAGATCGCATTAAGGTTGCGATAGTGATTCGTCAGCAAATTTCCTCAGTTTAAAAACTTGCTGTGTGTAAATTTTTTTTTTGTGTAAAAGTTTCTTTGTGCAAAAGTTTTCTGACTGTAAAAGTTTTGCTGTGTAAAAGTTTCTCTGTGTAAAAGCTTGCTGTATGTAAAAGTTTCTGTGTGTAAAGGCTTTTGTGTGTAAAGGCTTCTGTGTGTAAACGCTTCTCTCTGTAGATTCTTCTCTGTGTGTAAAGGCTTCTCTGTGTGAAAGCTTGCTGTGTGTAAAAACCTCTGTGTGCAAAGGTTTTTCTGTGTAAAAGTTTCTGTGTGCAAACGTTTGCTATGTGCAAAAGTTTCTGTGTAAAAGTTTCTCTGTGTTAAGGGTTTCTCTGTGTAAAAGTTTCTGTCTGTCTGTCTGTAAAGTTTCTCCGTGTCAGGGTTTCTCTGTGTGAAAGATTGCTGTGTATAAAAGTTTCTGTGTGCCAGCGCTTTTCTGTGTAAAAGTTCGCTGTGTGTAAAAACATTCTCTGTGTAAAAGTTTTTCTGTGTGAAGGCTTGCTTTGTGTGAAAGCTGTGTAAAGGTTTGCTGTGTGTAGAATCTGTGTCAAGGTTTCTCTGTGTAAAAGTTTTTTTGTGTAAAAGTGTTCTGTCTGTAAAAGTTTCTCTGTGTACATTTTTCTGTGTAGGGGTTTCTTTGTGTGAAAGCTTGCTGTGTGTAAAAGTTTCTCTGTGTCAGATCTCCTTGACTGTTTCAACAAGCACCGCGCCACAGCAAGAGCGATTCGACATGCACAAAATGCCAGAAGGGTTCCCCAGAAAATCTAAAAATGAGCACACCCACAACGAGAGCGACCTGACACGCCCAAAGAATGAGAGCGTTGCGCGAACGATTTCAAAAATTCATAATGAGCAACAACGAGAATGATCTGACACGCACAAAACGACGAAAAAAATTGCGCAAAAAGTCTCCAAACCGCCGTTTCGTGCGAGACCGGTTTCGAAAACGGAAAGGAAAAAAGGTTTGTGCTGTGCGCTGTAAGGATCGCAGAATGTGCTGGACAGGGATGTGAAACCAAACCCTTTCCCTGTACCATACGACCCTTTAATCTTGCCACACCACTTCAGGAGGAAGGAAAAAATAAACAGAAACAGACTGAAAGAGAAAGAATAGATACTCAAAATATTCAATATGTTCCGGAGGGAACAAATAATATTCCTTCGGTGGAACAGTTGCCCGCCTCAGACGGCGCAGTCTCACTTGGCGCACCTGCATGCCCGGAATGGGATTGCAAAGGTATGAGTTGTCATGGTGACAGCCAGGCGCAACAATGCCTGCTTCATGGTGAGAACTTCGTAAATATGTTTCTCTCCTTCCAGCTGAGGCTGCTCCGCTTGCCAGAGGCCTGCCACACGCACATCAATGGTTCAAGATCGGCTTTCCCAAAACATTTGCTCTCAAAATTAAAGCCCAAGAATTGTTGGTTCAAAATCAACCAATCACCTCAATAAACGTCATCACATTATAGGTTTATTTTGTAATTGCATGTGTTTCTCGTAATACAAATGCTTGGTGACAATAACGGTTGGACGGACACAACATCCATAAAATTATGGCCACTACCAAACATGAAACGCGCAGCCATTCAGGTTGGAAATGCCAAGGGGAACTCGTCTCTGCGTTTATACCTCCCTCCGGCGGTCGTTGATTTTTTGGCCGCCGAAATAGGTTTGTTTCATCAGCCCAAACACCTTTTACAAACATTTTCCCACAAGGAAACTTGTTCCAAGCCTATATTCAGCCTAACGCGGAACATTCGGGGTTTACGGCGAGGTTTGGCAAGGGTCTGTGGTAGGTTTGTTGGAATGGGCTGGCCTGCGGTCGTGCGAGCAAAAAAAAATAGTTACGTTTCCTTGTTATTTTATCGCCAATACGCGCGGTTACAGGCTATAGCATCAAGATATGGTTCTGCCCTGCCATATCCACAAGGCATACCGTTCAACCTACATAATGTTGTTCACTAGACGGCCCTTTTTGGCGACTTTGGATCATACACTCGGCTGTTTCATTTCGAGATTTTTTGCAACCTCCATGTTGCTATCGTATTCAATTCCCTTTTCAAGGCTGTATGGGAGAACCTTCCCCATTTCTTTCCGCATGTCAATCCCTGTCTGCGCTGGGCCCAAGACAAACTTAACCATTTCTGAGTGGGGCGCATTGACGCTCGCTTTCTGGTTCCCATAGTATTCCGCGTGCAATTCAAGCACATCATTATCTACTTTTTTCCCGTTCGTTTTGGGCACGCACGTGTTTTTCAAAATGTCCATGTTTGATTCTATATTTAAAGTTCAATTCAGATTACGAAGCGCTCTTCCACATCAACTCGTACCGTTCATCACCCCCCCGTCCTGTAATGTACGCCCCTCCTTATTCTGTATTGCCAGCGCTGTAGCATTTTCTTTTTAC